GAATGGAATTACCACCAAAACTATCAGGAAAATGCAATGTGATGCTGGCCATGTTTTGAAACTTGGAATACCTAATTATATGGAGAAATGCAATATCAGAGGGATAGCAGATGGTTAAATAAAAACAACAAAAGAACTCATTTCAGTGGCAATTGAAAGTGATTACCTTCACTGTTCAATTTGAAAAAGAATAAGGTTTCCTTCATTCTGCTCAATTTTTATAGTTGTCATGTTCTAGAAAATTAAACAACATGGTTTTTGAAGCAGTACAAAAGGGTTTAGGGCTGTAATAAATACCTTGTCTGGTACTCCAACACTCCTTGAAAATTTTCGACCAAATCCCACTCCTTAAAACAACAAGAAGACGTGTTTCAAGGCTGAAACGTTGAATTTTTCAAGTAACTCTGGGACAAGCTAATATGAAAGCAATACCTGAATGGCTTGCATTCCTTGAACATCTGAAAGTCAATGCCATCTCGAACTACACCAATATAAGAAATCCAGGCCTTAGGTAGAAAATATTGAAGTTCGAACCTACGCCCTCACCTTGGAAGGACTAGTTCCATCAGCACAACCAGTAATTGAAATGCTCTTGATCTTGACATCTGATGTAAATCTATCAGAAATAAATGAACAAAATATAACTCAATCATAATGTAAAGTAACGACATCATAGATAACTTCATCTAATAAGTTGGTCTTAGAATGGTAGGTTTTAATAAAATTTCTCAAGATGCAACACAAATGTTTCAAAAATAAGCTATGTTTAACATCATATATAGCATATGAGCACAAGAATAAAAGATAATTATAAATGACACACAAGTTATGTGTTATGTTTGTTTTAGGTGATCCTGGAAATGCTATTAAGGCCATCTCCAGCCCAAGGGGCTAAACCCAAAATATCCTGAATTATAACCCCAAATCTCTCCCAACCCAAGAAAATGAAGATGCCAAAATTTGGAAAAACTCAAATTTGGATCCAAATACCAGTCCAACTATTGCCTA